ATTGGAAATGAAAAATAGGTGAAACAGGCAAAACTGAGCAAGACCTACCTGTAGATCACGATCCAGTGGGCACAACCTACCGGTAGGATCTTGTTCAAGCAGAATTTTGTTCATCAGGCAAAACCTATCGATAGGACTTTTCCAGTGGACACAACCTACTGGTCGGTCTTCCAAAATTTTGAAATTTTAAAATTGTTTTGCCATACTTTTGGACGTTAGGTTCCTTGATTCCAAAGATATAAATGGATTAAAATGAAGCATGAATTGTGAAATATTGGACCTTGATTCGGTCAAATGAAAAAATGTACATGAGTTACACGTGTGGGTTAAAATCCCGGTTAAAGGATTCTATTGACGTGATGTCGGATTTGGCGACAATCACGGGTATTTTTGCGAGTTGACAGATAGTCAACAGTTAACAAAAGACCCCCGATTTTAGGGGTGTCATAGCGTAACCCAAAAAATAATTTAAAGTTAGTTCAATAAAAATTTATTAACTTAATACACAGTAAGATTTAATTAATTCAGAATAAAATTGGACCAATCAAAGTGTTATGTGTGACGTATTGTGAACCAAGCATAAAGAGAGTATTTAAAGGGAAAAAATTTGATTATTCCCCATTCTTTGACTTGCATTTTCTGCAAGAGAGAGAGAGAGAGAGAGAGAGAGAGAGAGGGAAGGGAGAAGTTCTCCAAGCCTTCTCCATCTTTCTTCTTAAATCCGCAAAAATCTAACCGTTGATCACTTTGGGCCAATAGTTAAAGTTGCTCTATACAACGAGATCTACGGAACCATACCAAAGATCGCTCTTTTCTCCAAAATCTAAAAGATGGGAATTTAGGGTTAAAGCTTGGAATGTTTGATTTGGGATTTTTGGGACTTCTACTACGCGAGTTTACACTACAAGAGGTAGGGTTCCCTCCTATCTAGATTTATGTTCAATCTTGGGTTGCGATATGAAATGGGTAGGGTTGTAGTGATGAATTATCATGTATTAGCTCACACCTAGTGTATCTAAGATATAGAAAATGGGTATGAGAATATGTTAAAACCATTTCTTGCTTGATTTGAATTTGATAAAATGGATTGTTTGGGCATGCTATGTGTTTACATATTTTTGCCTACTAAGTGTTTGATAAAATGCTTAGAAATTCAAGTATGTTATTTTAGATTGAAATTACATACAACATGCTTGGGAATGGTTGTGAAGAATGGATATGTTTATCACATGCTTTTATGATATAATGAGCATGATGATATGAAATGTAATTGTACATTATATTTGCATATGCACAGATAGTATCACATTCATGGGCATTCGACCTGAGTGAGTGTGTGTGCATGTTTTTAATCAAACATCATCCTTGGTGGGTTGATACGTGGGCTCAAAAAAATTGGACCTAGGTCCGACTAAGTCACATGGGTTTTCATTGAAAGACGTGTCGGGGTTAGCAAGAATGACTAGATTCTCCCTCGGGTGCAAGACCCAGTAATTTTGGAGATGCACTCCCATTGGTATTGAGTTCATAAAGTGTGTAGATGTATGCAGAACCATTTGTGGAACTCCATAGATATCGTGTTAGTTAAGTGATCGGAAGTCCATAAATACATACCTCAAAAAGACACAGATTTTATAAAATAGGCATTAGATGTCTAACATCAATGTCGGGGGCTTAGAATGTCTGGATGTATACGCATGGCATAGCATGTGTTTTGAGAGTTGGTGGGGCTTCGATTGCATTGCATGCATGAGTTCTCATCTCATGGCATGGCATGGAATTGTAGCATTCATTTACTAAAAATATGTGTTTGAATGGATGCTTGACATGATGATTTGCATGTGAAATTTCATATGCATCTGGATTGGGAGGTGATCTCTTAATGAGACACCTTATTAAGCGTGACTCACCCTTTATAAGAATATATTTCAGGTGTTGGACATACTCTAGCTAATGGCCTCACTTGGACCCGTATTGACGAAAGAGCCGGTTTGTGGCTTAAGATTGTGGAATTGAAGACCCTTGTATAAATATCATCTTTTGGCCTTGTACATTTTGTAATACAAAACTTGTATTTTGATAAAGGCTTGTAAGGGTACTTTATAATTGAACATTTAATCTTATTACGAATGGATGTGGTATGAGTTTTTAAGGTTAAATGTTGAAATCTGATAAATCTTGGCCTCAAGTACTGGTACTCATGCTTATAAGTACTGGTGCCTAGCTTCCAATGGGCTCAGGTACTGATACTTATGCTCATAGGTACCAATACTCCACTGCCAGTGGACCTAGGTATCGATACTAGGTCTTACAACTACCAGTACCCTGAATTCCAAAGGGCTCAGGGACTGGTACTCCTTATCATAGGAACTAGTACTTTAACACTTCCGAGCCTTCATATCTTGAGTTCTTTTCTTTGGACTATATAGATGGTTAAATTTTTAGTCCTAGACTTTAGGATGTGGATCTTGGAATGGTTGTATGAATAATGTATGCACAGGTTATGTATTGGATAGAGCTCTCGTGCAAAGGAGACTCAACTCGAATTCCATTTTGTAATGATCTTAGTAAATAGGGTATAACGATGTGGTATTGGGTTATACAGTATTCACGAGTATTTCGTAGGTTGATTGGTGATCAACGGTTAAGAAAGGACCCCCTACATTTTGAGGTGTCGCATTAACCACTTCCCATGGTTGTATATGTCTTTCCTTTAATAGATCTCTCTATCAGATACACCCACTTATGTTATAGATAGTTTCACTTGAACTCCCCGTCACACGGTTCGTTTAAGTTTCGAGCAAATCTTCAAGGCTTCACACCTAAAACTCTCAAAATGCACACTTCTCCAAGTAAGTTTTGGTTGAACCAAGCAATACCTTCTTCAATGTGTGAGGTTGGATGGAAGAATCAACATAGTTCGCTTTTTTGGACCTAGGGATCTAGAGATGTTCTTGAAGCACTCTAGAAAAGCTTGGGTCTTTTCTAGCTCACAGAGGCTTACTCTAGCATAGGAAAGACACCCTCTATTTATAGGCTCATAATAGCGTTTTTCTTGGGGACCATAAAAGTACAAATTCATGAACAACTACTCAAGCAGTAGGAGAGCAGTGGGAGGGTGTTGGCTACTAGAATGAAAAAAGAATTTAAACTAAGGCATTAAAGCAGGGACCGCTCGAGCAACCTTATGATTGCTTGAGCCGTCTCAAGACCGCTTAAGTGGCTTGAGTGCGACTCAAAGGGTGGTCTCCACTGCACATTCCTTCAGTCTTTCCCAATTTTATTTCTAAATATTCAGAAACCGCTCTAGCGAAGGATAATAAACATAGGGCAGTCCCTCCTAGTTTTTAAGCTAGAAATCAAACAAAAACTTATCAATTTGAGCACTAAAGGGTGGTACTCAAGTGAGGTCCTATTAATGACTCAAGTCTATCTTTTCAAAATACAATTAAGGTTTAGAAAAATGATACTTTGAAAGCCTAGGAGTCATTAACAGATCAACCATTGATTCCATTTTATCTAGTCAACCTAAGTCTAATAAATTAAACCAAGAATGCTAAGGTCTCTATGTAATCACCTTTGTCCTAAGTAAAGAAGGTGCATTCATAAAAGCTCTTGATGTTGCTTCAAGCAAAACCTCCTCTCTTCCATTGACACTCTCGGATCGTCAACATTGTAGCATCATGACTATGCAATAAGTTGAGATTTACAAAAACAATTCATGAAATTAATCAATTACAAATATGATCCTAATAGATTCAGTTTTTCATTCTAGTCATAATCGCCCTTTAACGACTCAAGCGGTCTCTCGTAAATTTCAATTTTCTTGCCTACCAAGTTGACTTCAATTAGGAGGCCTAAATATAAGGGCAAGCCGTTTTAGAGTAAGGTAACTCTCTTTAAGCCTAAAACTGTCTCAAATCTATGCTAGAGAGCCCAGAATAAACACTAAATCCCTAAAAAATCAAAGGTCAATCTACTTTAATAATCTAATACTTCAAATCCAAATAAAAAAAGAGAGGTATGGTAGAAACCCACCAAACTTGTATTGGTGTGTATTGAGGATCAAGTAGATCTTGGGATGGAGTCCTTGAAGATAAAGAGGGGAAAATTCAAATCGTTAAGCTTCATTTGCACTTTGAAGCTAGTACTCAAGACCTTTGTGGCAGAATCAGAAAAGAAGATTGACAATGATGAAAGCGTCATCTACTTTGACTATAGTGAATTAAGTTAAGTAGTCCGAGAATACTCCTATGATCTTTTTCCAAGAGAGTTTCCACCTTAAAAATTGTCTTGTGTTTTAGTTGATTGTTTATCATTTTATTTAGCGCACACACATATCACGTTTTTGATTGATTTATTGAAATGTTGCTATATCTTGAATGCATTATTGTGTAATTCCGTAGGTATAATCGTGTCAGATAATCGAATTACACTTCGCAATGCCTAACCTCAAATATTAAGTACCTTGGATTCTTGCCTTCTCCCTTGGTCTTGAAATCTTATGAAGGTTTCCAAAGTATGCTGAGCAAACATCTTGAATAGATCACTTGGAATCTTCACGTTGAGGCTAACATCCACATTCTTTTAACTTGTTAGCTCTCATCTTCAATACATCCAAGTCCAGACACAAGTAACGAGATTGTCAATCCTAAAAACCGAAACATAAACCTAAAAAAATTAAGCCCAGCACCCACATTAGCGACGAAGTGGACAGTAGTAATCAATGTCACAACTTCAATACAGGAAATTAACATCATAAAAATTCCAACGGTCACAAGTGGAAATACAGGAGTTGAAAATTGTAAAACAAAACACAATAGACAAGACAGCAACAACAAAAAAAAAATTACCCTTATCACACTGATACACTGACCTTATCTGTCTATACATGAACTCATTGCGACACTTAGGTACAAGGAATCGTGACAACAAATCACATCCTAACAAACATCCTCGTTCTTTTGCATCAATTTATTTAGCTTTATTTTTCTCCTGCTTTATGCTGCCACAGATCCTAGTGCATCCTCCTTTTGCTTCAGAAGTTTAGTCATTGTACTGTCAATCTGTGCAAATACAACGTGCTTGGAAGCACTTCCATTCACCTGCAACATAGTAAGTAGATAGTCCTACATCATAGATTTTGGGAAACACAAAACACATATTAGCCTCCACAGAACATGAAAGCACAGAAACGCGCGTAGAATATATATATATAACTTGCTACAAAGCTTTCTGTTCAGTTACGTATTTCTGTTTTTCAAGAAACTATGGCCCAAACAAAGCTCATAAAGATTGACCACCCTACACTCAGAGAGATGGAGAGAGAGAGAGAGACGAGAGAGGGGGGGGGAGGATTCATTAACGAGAGAGTACTGAAAATAGAGAATAAAAAATATCATGGAGTTTTCAACCAACTGCCTTTTGAAATGAGAAGCTTTCACATCAACAGCCGACCAAAATTCAAATACAATATTGGTTATTGTCCTCTTTTACACGTTCCAAATTTAAAAGTTAATTTTCTTCTCTAAATTGACAAAACACAGATGATATATTTATATTTATTTACATCCTATTTGATACTTAAAAATTTGTTAAACACAAAAGACAAAAGATCTATGTATATAGCATATGTGAAGAAAAAATAATGAAAAAGACTAATTACCAAAAATTGGATTAATCATGTCCATCTACAATTCTTTTTCAATAAGAAACAACAATTTTGTTAATAAAAATAAAAGAGATATTAAAAGAACCAAAAACAAAGGTGGACAAGTTGTCCAACCCAAAAAAAAGGATACAAAGACTAAAAAAACAAAAACAAGACCATAAAGATAGAAATTACAATCCAATAGATGTTGTCCAACTCGAAATAATGCAAAAGAGAGGAATATTCTAGAAATCCTTTTTAAAGAAAGCCCAAAAAGATGCCAAAAAATCCATTCGAATTCATAAATATTCAACATCCTCTTGTTTATCATAAAAAATTCTTGCATTCTTTTTCATCCATAAAACCCAAATGAGAGCAAAAACTGCATGATGCCAAAGAGTTTTTCCTCTTCTACTTCCACCCAATCCCCTAAAATTCACACAAAACATAGATGATATTGTCCTCGGAGCAACCCAAGAGATGCCAACAAAATCAAACAATGTATTCCAAAGTCATTGTATCCATCTGCAATTGATCCAATTAGTTTTCATTTTTAAAATTGTTACATCATAATTTTATTATTAAAGTCATTGAAAATACATTTGTCTGTGGACATAGCTATTATATGATGACCCTAATATTTATATAGTACCAAAGTTGTCTAATAATTTTCTTTTTAATTTAGAAGATGACCTCAATATGTCAAAAACTCATTCGAACGAATTGGAAACTTGTCCAAAAATTAGTAGCTATTTACATATGAATGTAATAATCAGTACAAATAGGGAAGGCATACCTAATATTACTTACAAATGTACGAAATGTATAGTTCAAAAATTTTATAGGGAAAAGTGTGAGGGTGGACGTGTGCCCCCTTTACTGGATCTGCCAGTGGTTACTAGAGATGCAAGTGGATCAACATCCATTTGGAATCAATTAAAAGGCATATGACTTGTTTCTACATGCACTGTTCCACTAGAAATGACAATTTCCTCTTACACCGTCACCTGAATGGAATTCTTACACTCATAAAGAGGTCCCTATTACGATGTCAAGGGATGCTTTGGGCCTATAGACTGACATGCAATTCAACTGGGGAGGCCCCCAAAATAATAGTGGAAATGAAAGCCAACATTTTCTATGTTTTGAACACTTGAGACCATTTGATTAGCAAGTTCTAAACTCCGGCATATGACTTCTTTGCTTTCCAACAATCAAGACGATAAATTGTACTAAAAATAAGGAAGACTATATGAACGGCAAGCTCCCCTTCAAAAAGGTTACATGAAAGAAACATTAAAAACATAAAACAGATTAGATTTGTTTTTTTTTTCTTTTTTCTTCCTTTTTTTCAAAAAGATTAGATCTCACATACAGATTTTCAATTAAAAAAAAAAAAAAGGATTCTGACAAAATCAAGAGACCAAAACCAAAAACAAAAGCAAGAATTGAACTCTTTCACACAAATGAACCTCCTTTTCAATTTATCTTAAAATTTTATAGATTTCTCTACAACCTCATAATACAAAAGATTGTTGACACCACAAATAAACAAGCTTTCTTACTTTTCCCAAGATCCAAAAAATCGATAAGAAACATAGGGTCACATGAGAATTTCAAGACCCAACACATTTCCACCAAAAAAAATAGTATTCCCTAACGTGAAGGAGTCACTGAACAATTGGGGCAAATATGAGTAACAAAGTCACCTCCTCTAAACAAATTGTTGTTATCGAGTCTCTTATGAGCAACTGTAACGACTCGTATAAAAATTAGTCGCTAATACAATAATTAGAGTGCTAATTATGATTATATATTATTGAGGTTTATTTAAAAAAAATTGAAATAAATAAATGAGTCTCAAATATTAATTCCTTACGTAAAAACGAGTCGAATGACTATAGTATTGATCATATTTCATATTGAAATAAAAATGTCATATTAAATATTTAAAGTATCTGAATGGTATAATAGATATGTAATATGTGTTACACTTAATATACAGCTATATATGTACATATCTACAAATGTCAAAAAAAGGAGGGGGTAGAAAAAATGGTGACAAGTGTAATGGTTAAAAAAAATGACAACCAAGAAAAAGTGGACAAATGTCCATAATGTGCATGTTGACATATTGTGCTCAGTGGCCAAGTAATCCTTGGCTACAAATAAGCCTTCAATACAAGTATGCAAACAGGGAAGTAGGAAAAGAAGAAAAGAGACAGAAAGAAAGGAAAAAAAATAGCAAGGATTTGGGTTCAAAATTAAATGGTAATTTTAGTCTCAAATTTTGTGAAATTGAGATATGTTGTTCTTAATACAATGATGATCAAATTTATCAGAATCCTTGGTAATTTGATGTGCGGGGTAGTATACAATATATTTCTGCAATTCAAATCTCTTTGCAAAGAGTACTCTTTTGATGATCTGATATTTATATTCCTATTGATTATTTTCTATTGATATAAGAAATTCTACAAGTTTTATTGATCAGACTTGTATTTTAGGTTAAATACTTTGTGATTGAATGTTACATGTTCAAAGTGTACATGGGGCATAATTTATGAATTGTGATTATGGCCTTACGGGATGTAATTGTACAATATGAGTACGGATTGATAGCAGTTGAATTACGTGACATGTCGAAGTTAATTCTTGATTCTGTTGTCCATGATTGCTTATCAATTGAGGTTTTTGGTATTTGATCATTCATATTTGTTAGATCATGTATTTATAATTGGCTAATTTCGTGAAGTCTATGTAAATCTTAACCAAATTTCATGGTCATCAAGCTTTAAAGATCAAGATCCGTAAGCAACAAAGGAAGGAAAGGAGATCAAGCTACATCAAGTCTACTCCAATGCACCTTCAAACTTAGGACAAAAGTAATGACCTTAGAGACCTAGATCCATTGGTCTAATTTTAGACTTAGGATGATTAAGGTGAACAAAATGAAATTTGGAATATCCGAAAAATGACTACGAGAGTTTTTCATTGAAAATGTTTTCTAAACCTTAAATGTGTTTTGAAAAGATACTTGGGTCATTTATCGGACTCGATTTGAACACCATCCTTTAGTACTCAATAGATCAAGTTTTACTTGGTTTCTTACTTAAAAATTAGTAGGAATCACTCTATATTTGCAAGCCTTCGTTAGAGTAATTTCTGAAACACATAGGGAGACAACACTGGAGAAACCAGTGGAGACTGATTGATGGCCGCTCTAAGACAGCCCTCCACCGCTCGAGCGGTCTAGAGGCCACTAGAGCAGTCGTAAATCGGTTTTCCACCTAGAGGTCTAGAATGATCGAGCAGTAGTAGATCAGCCTGACACCTAGAGGTCTACAATGATCTTGTACTCCAGCAACCGTCGCCCTATGACCGCCCTCTCAGTGCTCTAGCAGTCAACACAAATCTTTGTTTTCTTGGTCCCCAAGACAAACCTTATTTTGTGTCCTATATATATGGGGCTATATCTTAAACCTAGAGGAAGCCTCTATGATCTAGAATAGACCAAAAATCCTTTTAGAGTCCTTCAAGAACAACTTTAGATCCCTAAGACCAAAGGTCAACTATCTTGATTCTTCCCTTCAACCTCACACATTGAAGAGTAAGATCTTTCTTGGTGTCAACCAAAGCTAACTTGGGAAAGTGTGCACACCGAGGTATTGGGTGTGAAGACTTGAAGATTGTTCAAGGTCTAAACGAACCATGTGATGAGGAATTCAAGTGAAGCTATCCATAACGTCGAAGGAGGGCCTTTGGCAGAGATACCTACGAAGGAAATGAGCATCTAGCCATGTAGATTGATTCAAATATAAGACTCAAGCACTTGTAGATTGACTTTGGATTTAGTAAATTAAGCTTTGGTTAACCGAGTATAATTGATTGATTTGGTTTGGGTCACTTTAGTTGGGATCGCCATGTGAGATTGAGTATTAATCAACTAATTGATAGAATCAATACACTAATCTACATAGGTGTTTTGGGTTGCTCAAGTGAAAAGGGATTCTCATCGTTAACTGCTATATTTGATCGAAAAAATGTAATTGTTGTAGATATAGGTTAAAATTAGAGGTCATCCGAACTTAATTTTAAATTAACATATTCACCCCCTCTAGGTCTAGCGTGTGATTCCTCATGTATAATCGAGTAGAAAAATCTTACACGCGAAGTGTTGTATTTTTCCCACAATATTTTTATTGTTAAGCATATTGGTTTTTGTCATATTATACACTTCTCTTTTTTTAATATTTTTCAAGATAATCTCAAAGAAAAAAGCCAAAATTGAGATATCAAAAAATTGCAAATTTATAACATTTAATTTTATTGTGGTAATATATTATTTGAAAAAATCCATTTGTACAGATTGGAGATTATTTTTATTTATTTTCGAGGTAGTTAGAGCTCTAGTCTTGTATTTAGAAATCATATGAATTGTTAATAGTGGTCAGTATCAATTAATTAATGTTCCGAAAAAACTGAGGCATTACAACAACTATCCGAGAAAACTTGAACATTAAGAGACACTTTTGCTTTCTAAATTATCTTTAAAGGGGCAAATAGTGGAATGTTACAATTACCAATGAGATCATCAAAGAATGAATTATAAAGAATCCCCAGAAGAAAGAATAGATCACGCCCTCGTATCACAAAAAAACTATCTAAGAGTGACCCCATCCCATTAAATATCCAAACTTCACATCATAATCTAGATCTGAAAGAAGCAATGGGTACTATACATGAAGCTGATTTTTAACACATTTGAACTAGTTATGCTTGCCTATAGTATTTTAATGTGCAACTTCTTAAAAAGTTGTGTTAAATTATGTTTTATAATTGGCAAATTTCATAGAACCCTTTGTAAATCTCAACCTATTTCATAGTCATGATGCTATAACGATGAAGATCTAAAAGCATTAAGTAGAGGAAGAAAATCAAGTGTGAAACCTACATCAAAAACACTCTATATGCACCTTTTTACTTAGGACAAGGTAATAACCTAGTGTCACACCCTAATGGGCTTGGGTGTGGAATGTCAGGTCTTGGTGGCACCTTCAACCAAAGCACGCCATAAGTAGGAAGCAAGGTGATGCAGCTAAGGAGTTTGACAGATTGTGGAAACCATAACAGCGTGATACCATCCGGTTGAACATGGCAACGCGTGGTGGAGCTCAATTGAGGTAATGTTAGTGCTTGGCTTCGAATTGCATGCCATTGACTCAATCCAGCATGCTTGATGGCTCGTGGACAATGCCATTGACTCAATCCAGCATGCTTGATGGCTCGTGGACAAGGCTTGACTATTGAATTCTAGGCAAGCACATGCATGTAACTAGTCAATTGAGGGGGAGTTGCTGCAAAAGACCTAGTCAAAGCCATGCAGTTGTGTTGTTGGCAGATAAGCCATAACTTGATCATGGGCAAGCAGATATAGGCGGTTACCACATCAGGTGTTGGAATTGGGAAATTCCCTGCCAGCTATCCAGCAGAGAAATAGCCTGGTTGAACAGTCTTTGCTAAAAATCAGGTATGATTGTGTACCTAACCCTAGGTAGATGGGGGTGTCATTTGTCATACATCTGTATAAATAGAGGTGTCAGGACATTCTGTAGGGAAAGAAAGTCCATGGCCGGATTTGAGTTTCCTTGTAATTGTTGTGAGCATCAATATAAAGTTTGGGAGTGTTTTTTTCGTAAATTCGTGTGGCCTTTGTGTGAGTGTGTCCCTATATTCATGTTTGTGTGGTTGGTTGTAGAAGCAACGCCTTCACTGATAACCTCAATTTCGAGAAAAAACGAAAAACAAGTTGTTACCCTGTGATAGTTTGGTACTAGAGCATTGGCCTTGGCAGAAGATTGATCCATTGCGGGCAAAAGAAATGCTAATTTGAGGGAAAGGGTAGCACATTCGGAGGAATTGGTTGGTCCCCCACAGTCTGGTGATGTTGCGGCCCTTTCTGTGCAGCTTGAATTGTTTTACCAATGGTTTGAAGAAATGCGAGCATCCCAAGAACAACTTCAAAAGCCTGAAGTAGATCACTTTAGCCAGACAAAGAAAGAAGTTGTTGACGTTTTTGCCACGGTTTCTACATAGACCGATGGTTTGGGGGAGAAATTGAAAGCCCTCGAGAAAAATGTAGCATTGCTTGCAAAAAGGCCCTTCACGTTCTAGCATGAAAGCATGTAGAAAGCCAAAGTATCTTGCCCTAAGCCCTTCACTGACAGTCATAACGCCAAAGAGCTTGAAAAATTCTTGTGAGATATGGACCACAACTTCAAGGCAGTCAATACTCCAGATGCCGAAAATGTAGGTCTCACCAACATGTACCAGTCGGAGGATGCATAGTTATGGTGTCCCTTAACAGCTTAACCCTCCCAACGTTCATATGCATGACTCTAAAAGTAACCTTTTTCTATGTTGACCAACTAAGAAGCACAAATACGAATGTGATAAGAGTAAAATATGATACTGCTACCAAAATACGGCATAACATAAAAAAAAAATGTGGTTATGGTTGGGATACATTGGTAAAAGTAAATGTTTTATATTTTCACAATTATTTAGTGACTTGACAACTAGAATTTCCAATAAATTATTTAACAATTACAAAATTCATAATTTTCCCTTTCAAATATTTATATATCGTCTTATTAAGGCATGGTTCAAGGTATCGGCCGAGTCTAATACGACTCGACCGAGTTATATCCGACTCAACCCCCTCTAATACGATAACCGTACACGTTACACAAAAATCACGAGTCTCACCTGAATCGGTCGTGACTCGGTTACAACTCAGTGGAATCGGCTTGACTCGAAGTAATACCAGTGTAACTTAGACGAGTCATTCCAGACTCGGACAGATGATAAAATTTTTCCAAAATTGAAAGACAAAAATGCAAAAAAAGACCAAAATAGAGAAGAAAGAGGGATAAGAAATCAAGCAAAAAATGAAACTCAGATTTACAAAAGACATACCTTAAAATTGAAGGCATAACTGTTTTTCTTCTAATTTTTCCACTTGCACAACAATTAGCTGGCTTTGTTCTTCCTTTTCTTCTTCTTCTTCTTCTTCGCAACAAAGACCCAGCATCACGATCACAGATCAATTGAAGAAATCCCAGGTTGCTCGACCAGCATCATCGATCGCAGTCGAAGTCTCAAACAGCCCCTAACTCCCTCTGTTCCTCTCTTTTCATCTCTGCAATTAAAGTCTCGATCGCAGTTGCTCGCCTCTCGTCTCTCGCCGGAGAGTCTCTCCTCTCTCGCCTTAGTCTCACTTCTCTCTCTCTCGTCTGAGAGTATCAAACTTACAATGGCAAACCCAGTGACTCAGTTCATTAAAGACTATTTGATTGTGGTTAATTTATTAACTTAAATATGGTTAATTTAATTTACTTATTGCGAGTAATTTATTAAAGTGTGGTTAATTTATTTTACTTAGAGTGGTTAATTTATTAATATAGTGTGGTTAATTTATTTTATTTGTGGTTAATTGGTATTTGGGTTCACTTTTTGTCCAAGTTTACTTAGATTAAATTTATTATTTAATAAATCATTAAAATATTTAATATAATAGTTAGATATTTAGATTATTTATTTTTTAAATAAATATTTGAAGTATTTTATTTTAAATCAAACGCTAAATTATTAACCTTATGGTGAAAATTATCCCAATTTGTATTATCCTAGAGACAATAATAATGATGATATTTCTGAAGTGCTTACCTTAAACATTCATAATGATAATTTTTTTCGGTAGAGTCCTTATGTTTCATTTTAATTATTTTTAATGTGTTTTTGGATATATTATAGACATATGATGAATAATGATGTTTATATTTTTAGAATTTATCATAATATTTTTAAATTTTTTTAGAGCTTCTATCTAGCATTTTGAGCGTATCAGCCAATACCGCACCGCGACGCCACGACCAACGTCTATCAATGCCCTCCGCGTTGATGACCGATGCCGCGACTTTGAACCATGCATTAAGGTATATCCACGAAAACAACGTAATTAATTAAAGGAATCATACCAACATTTGTTGGTTTGCCTACAAATACTTATTTGCCAAGAAATATGGTGTAATTAACTTGTTTTATGTTCTTTTTACACGTGATAGCCAATAACACTTGAGAAACATTCAAGTGTCTTCAAAATCATATGAATTTTTCTGCACGTGTTGCGTTGTATGTGAATTCAAGAGGGAAATATAAAGATTAAAATAAATAATTACACATAATGTTCCATGTATCCATTTTCATATCCGAAGTATATTTGTCAACGTAACCATAAATTTTACTATTATTGGATATGCAGAGTGTGCATCTAATACGTATCTGAGACGGATACGTAAATCTTAAGGTAGTATTCATGCTTCATAGTTGGCCAATGTTACTTTCCCATGCCTATGTGCAGTCACAAGTCAAACATGCTTGCGCTCAAATGAATTTGCAAATGTAGAGATAGCGAAAAAGAGCACATGGCATACCTTGACTGTTATATCCTCATACAGAGAAAGCACTGCCTCCACGTTTTGATGATGAGTGCACAAACGGAGTTTTACCTGAATAAAGACAATATGGTAAAGTAAATTAGATTGCCATTATATAAGCATGGTTGGTTAAATGTCAGGGCACAAGCACAAAATACGATAGAGATACAAAGGTGAACCCATTTAGAGCATGGATAAAACAATCAAAAAACATGCCTTTTCTTCCGTATCATCAAAGCGTTGGGTAAGTCTCGCAGCTATCTCTTCGGTCTCAGGGGGAGAGTACTTCAAATGGTATATCCTGCCAGTAACAGGATCTAGCCTACGGCCCACCACCCTCTCAACAAGAATCTCTTCCGAAACCTGAACAACTTTCTAGAAATCTAAACCAAACTAGTGCAAGCAATGTAAAGTCTTCAAAACTCAGATATTTTGAAGTCAACAATTAGCTACATATGGATATATGTTTGCATGTGGTTCTTTGCATGCATTTCATCATTTTATTCCAACGTTTTTAACTAAACATATATAACTAACAACAAAACCTCACTTCAAGAAGAATGAAAAGGTCTGGCTGGAACCCGAATTCTTTAAGAACAGTTGCTTGAGATGAGCTCCTAGGATATCCATCCAAAAGCCAACCCTTTTCTTGAGCATCTGATTGTAACAGACGATCCTTCACCATCTACACCCATTGGAAATCAATGAGTCACCAATCAGAGGGTGCTACAATGTCATAAACTATAGTAGACAAAACATACCATGACAACTATTTCATCAGGGACCAACTGCCCATTCTCCATGTATTCCTTTGCACATCTCCCATTTTCAGTTCCTGCCGCAACTTCTGCCCTCAGTAAATCTCCGGGTGCAATATGCACCAATTCATACTACATAGACAAGGATAATTTCATTCAATCTATTTTACATTTGCCGAGGAAGTCATACTTAAAAAATCATGCAATAAAGATAGTGACTCGTGAGGACAATGACATGATGCCTAGGAAGCACGCATAGCTCCCAGAGGGATGCCGTGGCAATGTCAACACGCGTCAAGCACGATCGGACACACGTCGAACATGGCTAGAAGTGTTCTGAATAGTAAACTCAATCGATCACGGCTAGGATACTGTCTAAATACGACCAAACATGGAAAATATATGGTCTGGATTTTTTTTGAAAAAAAAAAGGTTGTTAACTATTAATAGAGGTGTGATTTCTTTCTCCTTTTTGAAGTTTTTTTTTTTATATAACTTATAATCTATGAATGTTAATAGATGTAATGATGTTTGATAAAAATAGTATATGTTTATTTTGATCTACTTCAATTCTAATCAAAAAAATAATATAGGCTTTATTATTAATATAGTTATAAAATATGTTTTGTTTTTAATATATTATAATTCTATTATTACATAAAAAATATATAATTATTTTTTTTAATTAGTTGTTGTGTCCTATATTTTTGAACCNTTAATATAGTTATAAAATATGTTTTGTTTTTAATATATTATAATTCTATTATTACGTAAAAAATATATAATTATTTTTTTTAATTAGTTGTTGTGTCCTATATTTTTGAACCTTGTCGTATTCGTGCTTCCTCGCATGACGCCACTACAAAACATTCAAAAATAACCGAAAAGCATATACAATCACAAGTAAGCTTATTATTCTAGATATCAAAGACTTCACAATGACGAAAAATTGCAAGAATGTTTCTCTCCTAAAGAAAATCTTTCTCTACTTCAATGTGGAAACTTTGTTTGAAAGTTGAGTATAATATATGTGAATACAATCGCACTAGTGAAGCCTTTAGTATATAGAGCTGCATAATATTGGTGGATAGGGATAAAATGAAAAGTATAAAAAAGCCCCGGGAATAGAACTATGAAATATTTTCCAATGTGTTAGTCATATTTATCAATTTCTAGACCAATTTGTCCAAACTAGGGTGACTATTTTAATTGGTGCTTAAATATTCCATTATCAATCAAGTTTCACCTAGCTAAAAGTGAGAGTAATATTTAATTAATCCCCAGCTTGATCCGTTAAGCCCTACTTGCAAAATTCTTATCTACAGAGATCTTGGTCACGCAGATGGAAGCCTAGTTAAATAGATGCAAGCCTAGTTGACTAGCTTCACTTGCATAAGCCCCTATTTTCTATTTTAAGTCTACTTTAATGAATTCCTCGGTACAACTTACAAAGATAGACTTCTATGGTCGGACGGATTAATTATGTTCAATTTTTTTTTAGGTTCTCAAGGTGTACTTATAAGTCTCAAATGCTAAATTCCATTCAAAACAGTAAATTCACTTCCCACTCAAAGTGCTAGCTTTCATGCTATCAACATATGCTTGAGTGTGGCAAAGCATACATTTTCATGCATGGAACTATACTATGCAATCACATGAACACAAAGGTGTACAATGGTTTAGCTAATACCTCAGCCTACATTCACACTTCCAACCTCCACAGTTGAACCTCAATCCATTCCAAGTGATTCAAGAAAATTCCAACAACCTTACGGTTTAGGAAATGGGGGAAACCACTACCCAACCTATATATTATTTTATCTCGGATTTCCAACTAATCTTCCTAGCCTTTAACAACCTACCCAGCCTATGAATCCAAACTTGTTGTAGGTTTTAGATAAGGCTTACCTACAACTAACTACTACAAGTGTCCAACTGGCTTTCACTAAGATCACGCAAAACCTCCTATCTCAATAAAGCCTCTACACATTCGTAATTTTTTTTTTTTTTTTTTTTGGACATGAAACGTAAACTTCGTATTAATAAAATGTAAAGTGCATCAAAAAAGTTGGATAATAAAACCAACCATGAATTAGAAAAAATATAACAAAAAAAAAAAGAGAAATACATAAAAGCCTATAAATCACATGAAGCTCTCCAATCCGCTAGAATAGCAAAAAACGATATTCCTATAAAGTCCTTAGTCACCGATACCAAAAAGACGCTAAGAAATAAGTCTGATCCCATAATCCTTCCAACCACTCAATATGATCTTCAAATATTCTTGCATTTCATAGCACATAGCACAATACCGTAACACAATACCAGAGAGTCACTCCTTTATCAAACCTCCCAAAACCTTTCAAATCTTCAATAAACATAGATACGAATAATTTAGGAATCACCCAACTCATACCTGCCAAGCCAAACAACTTATTCCACAAGGACATAGCAATAGGGCAATGTAAAAATAAATGCAAGAAAGGTTAATGCTATCTCAACTATGTACCAGTGTTTTCTTTCAGCAAGTCCATTCTGCTGAGATGTGTAGGGGCAGGATTTCTGATGAATAATAAAAGAACTGGAAAGAAATGGCTTGAGAAGAGTACTCTGATACTCTCCTCCTCCATCAGACTGAAAAACCTTTAGATGATGAGATAACAAAGTTTCAACATATTTCTTGAATTTACAGAAGATAGAACAAACTTCTGATTTGGTAGTCATCAGAAAGATCCAAGAAAAACGAGTATATTCATCAATGAAAGAAACATAATTCCTGAAACCAGTGAGGAGTTGGGCCCCATACATCACTATGCACAGTTTATAAGGGAAACAAAGAAACATACCTAGAAGGAGAAAACGGGTAGTTTTGTAATTTTACCATACAAACAATGTTGACAAATACAATCCTTGTGTGATTGCAACTGCCTAGCATGCTTAGAAAATGAGAGCATTTTATTTAAAATTGAATGAGATGGATCACAAAGTCTGTCATGCCAGAGTTGATCATAAACTCTGGTTCCAAGATAGGCCATAGGAGAAGGATGTTTGATAATTTGAGTTGGAGAAGAAGGTGAAACAGGGTTGAAATGATTTGGATAGAGACCATTGCTACTCTTGCCTTGGTAAAGGACCGTCTTCGTAGCCTTGTCATGAATCACAAAGGAATCAGTATCAAAAAGAAAAACACAGTTGTTATCTGCACAAAACTGCTCAACAGATAAGAGATTGGTAGAAATGGATGGAACTCAAAGAATATTGGTAAGTTTAAAAGGAGAAGTAGTATTTAGAATAGATTGACCTGAATGAATAATTTTAAGTTCCTGTCCATTGCCTACTGAAATCTTATCCTCGCCACAGTATGGACTGTGAATCTGCAGATTTGCTAAGTCAGAAGTGATGTGATGAGATGCTCCAGTATCAGTAAGCCACTGATTTGGAATTGGAGATCCTGCTGAAGCAGTCATTCCAGAAAGTTGAGGAGAAGGATTACGGCCTTGATATGCATAATCCAAGCGATGATAACATTCTATAGCCATGTGACCTCTTTTGTTGCAGATCTGAAAGAACAATGGTGTCTGAGAGTAAGAATGACGTATAGAAGAGTTGTTTGATGTTTGACCACAACAAGGTTGTGAAGAATAATTCTGCTGAGAATACTGCTGGTTATAATAGTTCTGAGAGTTGTTTCTGACATATTGATTGGATTGTCCTCCTCGATTGTTGTATCCACGTCCTCTGTTGTTTCCTGGGCAGCCCGAATTTCTACCTCTTCCAGACTGATTTGAAGACTTATTCTGTGAATCATTCATTGCAGTAGGAAGAAATTGAGCTTGTGTAGACTTTGAATCTTTCTCTATTGAAAGTTCTTCAGCCCTAAGAAGAACATGCAAGCCTTCTAGTGAAATTGACTAAGTTCTGGTTCTTATGGTTGTGCGAAAAGCCCCAAATTCAGTTGGAAGTCCATTTAGTGTATATATGAGGATGTCCTCATCTTCAACAAATACAGAAACAGCAGCTAGCTTATCTCTAGCCACTTTTATCTTCTGAACATAAGTATCAACAGAATCTTTACCTTTCATGATTGTTTGAAGATTTGTCTTCAACTGCAGTATGTTAGATCTAGATTGAGATGAAAACCTTCTCTCAAGTGCATTTCATACTTGATGAGAGGTTGTGTATCCAACTACTTGAGACAATATAGACTGTGACAAAGTTGCATTGATAAGAGTCATTAGAGCCTGATCTTGAATAATACACTGTTGAACAAGTGGATTCACTTCAGATGTGTGTTCTCTAGCTACATTTCTAAGAAAATTGTCTAGACATAAGTATATTCCATCAAGAAAAACTATGAGTGAGTGTGCTCTTGGCAGAGAAGAGATCTGAAATCTCCATGAAACATAGTTCAGTCCAAACAAAGAGAAATCAAACTACAGATGTTTGACAGAAGATATATTGGAGAAGGATCCTGATTTTGACACAAAGTAGAAGAGGAAGAAGAAGAAGAATGGGAGGATGAAGACTGAGAAGCTGCCATTGATGCAGATGAAGGTCTCTCTTTAGTGCCCTGATACCATGTGAAGACTGAAGAAGATGATGCTCTTGAACAAAACAGAGAATTAGAAAATATATTATTTCTCATCAGATTTCTGTTTATTTATATTTATAGAATCTCTGCTACACACTCAAGATAGTTTAATAAATCAATTAATCCTAACTAATTACAACTGACTGAACCAACTCTAACTAACTCTAACAAACTCTGCTGACTCAGCATCAGTGAACCGATCCACTGTGATGCAGAGTAATGCCCTGCTGCTGCTGCTAAGGTACTGCTGCGGCTGTTGTGATGCAGTGCTGCTGCTGCTGAGTTGAGGCAGCTGATGACTCAGCTGAGGGTGTGCTAATACCCCTTAGGGGATGCTCTCTGTGTGTTTCTTTTTTGCCTGTAGGGCCATTCATATTTTCTTTGGGGAGTGGGAGGATCACCCATTCTTTTTCGTAGTTTTGCTCTTTTGGTTTTAATAAATTACTTATAAAAACTTGAAGGTAAGCCATCAGTGGAGGGTGATGGGAGGAGCGAACTGGGCAAAAACCCATCCTTTACCACTTTTAATAGAAAGCGGCTGCATACAACCTGACAATTGTTTGTTCGTACTCCTGACACTGCACCAGTCAACGCCCTCACCAATTGGAAAATTTGATAAAGCAATAGAATTAAAAGTCGATTCCTCCCTTTTGCACTAACAGCACCACAAAACAAACGCAATTCCAAACTACTATGGTATTGAATTTCATTCCCAAGTCCAATTAGAATGTAGGGGTTGTAAGAAATACACAACTTACTTTCTTAGTGATGAGCTCGCATTGTGTTCCTTTACCAGAAGCAGGAGCCCCAGATATCATAATCTTCAACGGCTCTCCCTTATTTGCCGTTGACGCCACAACCTACCCAAAAGAACTAGATGTACATGTTTATATATATATAATCCATCACAAATTTCGAAGCCTCCGTTTGGTTACCAAGAAAATATTTCTTCAATTATCAGCTGCCAAACGGAACAGCCATAGATAATTTTTTCTAAAATTCAATAAAATAGAAGCTGAGAGCCGGAGTTAGAGTTGCTAACCAGGAGACTGAGAGCATTTGGCGACGGGCTTTTGTGGGAACGGCGTCGGATTAGGGATTCATCGCAGTGTACAGAGGGCCAAAGACTGATCTGACCTCTTGAGATAGAGAATTGAGATGTGTCTTGGAGCTTGACGGACATTGAAGAGGGAGAAATAGTAGCAGCAGCAGCAGCAGAAGCTGAGGTTGGAGATTTTGGCTTTGATAGCAGTGACACTGGGAAGTTCAGTGAACTGCAAGCCATTGCCCTCTCTCTCTCTCTCTCTCTCACACACACACACACAAAATGTCTATATCCGCTGAAATCCCCCTGGCTCGTTCTCGTCTCGGATTTGCACGCCTAAAATTAATATTACACTTGGAGATTTCTTATACACTATTACGAATAAAATTAATGGTATCATTGGCGTGATCCACGAGGGAATATTTTTAAAAGAGTAAAGGGAATAAAAAGAAAGAGTCAATTGACAAAAAAAAAAATTTCTTTCACTTTCAAAATATTGCCAATTTTCCTCAACTCTGTATGCGTTTTTAGATTGAATGGAAACAAAAATGTGTAGATTTTGGCACTATAGACTGGTAGTACTTACTTTGCATTAACTAGTTAATGCATACTTGTTTTGCGAATATGAATTATTATTTTTTCAAAACAAGAAAAATACTTGCTCCGTTCCTAAATATCTATCGTTTTACACAATTTTTTTTGTTTCATAATATCTGTTGTTTAATGAAACCAAAACATAATTAATATTTTTTCTTTCAAATTTACCTTTAACTTTTCTATGCATTAGATTAAGTGGAAGCTAAGTACTTTTCATATTCCTTTCATTTCCAATACGTATTGAATAAGGGTATTTCTAGTCTTGTGTAATTATTTTTTACTCATATTAGAATTATTTAATAGCTTCTTTTAATCGCTGTGTAAAAATTTTAAATGTCAGATATTTAGAAACGGATGGAATATAATTTTAGGAGGTATATTTAGATTCCATAACAAAANTTCTAGTCTTGTGTAATTATTTTTTACTCATATTAGAATTATTTAATAGCTTCTTTAATCGCTGTGTAAAAATTTTAAATGTCAGATATTTAGAAACGGATGGAATATAATTTTAGGAGGTATATTTAGATTCCATAACAAAAGGCCAATGGTTTTAAGAAATTGGTGGGAAGCTCAAGGCCTGTTTAATTTGCGTCTCAAAAAATAATATCTAAAAATCATTTTGGGAAAAGTTTTAAGAAAGTGTTTTTAAAATTTTTTAGATTACAAAACCTATTTGGTTATATATTTTTAAAAATACTTTTAAAGAAAAAAATTATAAAATCTGTTTGGACAATATTTCACAATTCTCATTCTCTCTTTCTTTCCCCTCTCTTTGTCTCCACAAAACACACACACACACACACAGAGGCATATACACACACAAACACAGAGATGCATACACACACAGATCTGTGCTCAAATCTGTGTAGATCTAAAGCTTCTGTGCAGACGACGAGATGGAGACAAGCTGGAGCTGGAGAAGAGCTGGAGCTGTAGATCTGAAGCTTCTGTGCAGACGAGCTAGAGCTGGAGAAGACGACGACGATGTGTGCGTGTTCATTCTATTCAGACGACGAGTGGAGAAGACGAGCTGGAGAGTCAAGGAAAGAGGAAGAGAAAAAAAAAAGGAAGCCTATTGCTGCTAAGGGAACTCGAAGGGCAGACCTCATTAAAGGGTTTTGTGACCTTCATGTTTTCACAATTTTCAGCCCCAAACTCAAAAAACAAGCTAGCCTTGTTTACTATTTCTTTGCTCCAAATCTCATTTTTTTCCCAAAAATTTGAGAACAAATATACTAAGCAAACAGATTTTGGGTGTTTTTGAAATTTTGAAAACAAAAAACCGTTTTACAAAATATAACCAAACACGCCCTCATTTTGATCTTCTTGCCCTTTTGTTTTAGAAAAAGGTATGCGGACTTTGCTATAAATGTAAGCTCTCGTATTTCTTTTAATTATAAATTATGTTACCTTACTAGTATTTTCTTAAATGATTAAAATGATGATAATAGCTTCAAATCGTTTTTTAAAACAAAATTCGCAAAATTTAAGTTTGGCGCATATTAATTATTTTGGTCAAATTAATTTTGGAGCCGTTTAAACTTGAAAAGGGTAACTTGGCAAAATTTTTGAAGTTTTTTAACTCTAACATTACCATTGAATCCGAGAGATCGAGAAACTTTGGAATAAACATTCATTTCATATAGCGGTCCATATGAGTAAAATGATAATTTCAGCTTTTTGAGTATAAATTGACTTTAGTTTTGAGATAACTTATAAAATTAAATGTTTTTATGTTAAATAACATTAAGAATAGATTTGGAATGCCAAAAAACCTTAGGGTTAGTCATGCGGATAAAATTCAAGATGTTTAGGAGTAAAATTGTAATTTCGAACAAAAATGAATTTTTGGTCACAATGAATAGTACCTTGAGAAGGGATTATTAGTTTTAAACCCTCATTTCTGTCATTTTTCTCACACCTTTTACCCAATACCACTCTTAGAGGCCAAGAACTAGAGAGAGGGAGAGAGAATAGGAAGAAAAAAGTCACCAGGGCTTGGGCTTTGTTCGGAAAATATAGGGACTTGGCTTGGAATTCTTGGTTCCTAGGTAGTTTTTTCTTTTTCTTATATTTACATTGTGCATCTTATGTGTTTTCTTTATCTAAAACTTAATGTCAAAGCTTAATGTCTGTTGAATGGCTAAATACTTATTATAAATCTTGATTTAATGTTAGGTGTGCAATCATAAAGATGATTTTGGTGTAGTGGTTTTGAAACCCTAGCTTTATTTTTGTTATGGATATTCGATTAAACATATGATTTGGGTTTTTGAAGTATGCTATGACCTTGTACATAATGTATATGACTTATTCTCTTAAAAATTGTTGTGTTATTTTGAAAATTCAAATCTTGATATCATGCGCCTTTTGATAAAATCCCAAGGTTGTGGTATAGCTTTTCAAAAGGGTTTATAAATATGACAAATGATGATTTTTTAAAAAAGTACACTCAATACTGATAAATAGAGGGTTAGTAGACGATTGAGGCTTATTAAGGGGTTACCAAGGCGACTACTAGTCCTAAAAGGAATTGGTGATGGTAGTGATTTTTAGTGATAACTTATGTGTTATTATAAATTGTGCCCTACACACCCTCTGAAAAAGCAAGAAGAGCAATAAGACCCTAGGGTGACCCAAAAGGTTCCCTAGGGATGGTTCATGCATGAACTGATATTTGATTGATTATATATGATATGATGGTTTGCCTTCAAATGTATATAAATCTTAGATTTATAACTTGTATGTTTTAAATAGTGACATACTAGAAGACTTTTATAAATGCTCTACTTATTACCTTGTATCTATACTTGATCATAGAAAGGTTTCGCTATTTATTTGCATGGTTTTGTAAAATATTGATATTTAAAACTTTGTACATGCTTGAGAAAAAGATTATCTTATGGGGCTTGGTTACTAATTCCTTACTAATACTCTTAGAGACTACCATGGATCCTGGGATGTAGATGATGAAATGCTAGTGGGAGCTTGCACTAGAAATAATTTATTTTAGAATCTTTTTGTATTTACTCTTAAAACTTGTAGATTGATGTTAGTACACAATCATTGTGTTTGAAATGATTGTTTTGAGACACTTGATCATCCCATAGAGGGATAATTTTTTTAGGTATTGTAATATAAAGTTATGACTTTTGGTATTATTATTATTATTATTTTTTTGATAAATGAGAATAAGATTTAAGAGTAAGTACAATAACAAAAGATAGTAATTAAAAGCATCCTAATGTAGCATGGAGGGGATGTGCATCCAAATCCACTTGAGCCTTTGTTGAATTTGGCAGTTAGTCTGGCTGGAGTGGACCTGTATAACCCATAGCGAGCCCCCATTTTGCTAATTCATGAGCAGCACCATTTGCATCCCTACGTGTGTGTACAAATTCCCATTCCGGATGATGCTGAAGAATGACTTTTATGTGTTGTACAATTGAGAGCACAGTCCAATGAGGTTTGACATGAGGAAGCATGATGGAATGAACTACAATCTGTGAGTTTCCTTCTATGAGCACATAAGACCATCGCTTGGCATGTGCCCATTCCACAGCTTGCCTTGCAGCTAGAGCTTCAGTTATGAGTGGGAATGTTTCTGTTACGATCTAGAGTTCACTTTCTATAATTGATCCATCATGAAGTCTGGCAAATTGCTGCNAAAGGGTTTTGTGACCTTCATGTTTTCACAATTTTCAGCCCCAAACTCAAAAAACAAGCTAGCCTTGTTTACTATTTCTTTGCTCCAAATCTCATTTTTTTCCCAAAAATTTGAGAACAAATATACTAAGCAAACAGATTTTGGGTGTTTTTGAAATTTTGAAAACAAAAAACCGTTTTACAAAATATAACCAAACACGCCCTCATTTTGATCTTCTTGCCCTTTTGTTTTGGAAAAAGGTATGCGGACTTTGCTATAAATGTAAGCTCTCGTATTTCTTTTAATTATAAATTATGTTACCTTACTAGTATTTTCTTAAATGATTAAAATGATGATAATAGCTTCAAATCGTTTTTTAAAACAAAATTCGTAAAATTTAAGTTTGGCGCATATTAATTATTTTGGTCAAATTAATTTTGGAGCCGTTTAAACTTGAAAAGGGTAACTTGGCAAAATTTTTGAAGTTTTTTAACTCTAACATTACCATTGAATCCGAGAGATCGAGAAACTTTGGAATAAACATTCATTTCATATAGCGGTCCATATGAGTAAAATGATAATTTCAGCTTTTTGAGTATAAATTGACTTTAGTTTTGAGATAACTTATAAAATTAAATGTTTTTATGTTAAATAACATTAAGAATAGATTTGGAATGCCAAAAAACCTTAGGGTTAGTCATGCGGATAAAATTCAAGATGTTTAGGAGTAAAATTGTAATTTCGAACAAAAATGAATTTTTGGTCACAATGAATAGTACCTTGAGAAGGGATTATTAGTTTTAAACCCTCATTTCTGTCATTTTTCTCACACCTTTTACCCAATACCACTCTTAGAGGCCAAGAACTAGAGAGAGGGAGAGAGAATAGGAAGAAAAAAGTCACCAGGGCTTGGGCTTTGTTCGGAAAATATAGGGACTTGGCTTGGAATTCTTGGTTCCTAGGTAGTTTTTTCTTTTTCTTATATTTACATTGT